TATCTTCAGATATTCCATCACAAGGAATGGTAAGACGACCATTGCCAGTACCCCTGGAATACCATATTTGGCCACCTTCTTCATAGTTTCTTTAATATTGGATTTGGTGGTCTTTTCCTGTAGCCCCATGACATTTTTCATAAGAGATTCTTCTGCTGCTTCCACTTTGGGTCTCATCATTTTTTTTGCTGGTTCTAAGACACTTCTCATAAGAGCTTCTTCTGTCTCTTTATATACTGAATCAACGGTTGTTACATCAAGCTTATTCATAGTCTGCACATCTAGTAATTCAACCTTTACTTTGCGAGCTTCAATGCGTTTATATATAACCCAATCATTTTTATTCTTATCTGGATCTTTATCTTTCTCTTCTTCATGCAAGTATAAATATATGGTCTGCTTCCTTTCCTGTGGTAATATCTTTTCGTTTACTGATTCGCTTGAATCTTCCTTTTCTTTTCTTTTCAATAATTCTTTAATATTTTCTAAATCCCCTTCTCCCCGATGGTGAATTCTCTTAAATAGACTATTTTGGCACCTTAAATATAAGTTCTCCGCATATTCATCAACTATCGCTGACACATCTTCATCGGGTGTAAACCCATCGGCACTTATGTTATTAATCTTCTTAAATAATCTATTGTTCTCTGTTATATACACACCATTGTCATTCTCAGGTTCTGCTTTGTTTCCATAGCTGTCCAATAAACCGCATTCATCTAGATACTGCATCTTTTTATATAAACTCTTAGAGCACGTTACATATATTGTGTTAATTAGATGCTCCTCTCTCATCAATTCTTCTTTGTTCAGTAGATCAATGGAATTTCCTGATATATCTTTTCCAAACAATTCCTCTCTACCCAGTTTGTCATTGGTATTCATAGAACTACCTGTCATTTTGAACTTTGCTTGGTGTAACTTGGTACTTTGTTCACTAAAATCATCTTTTATCTGCAATGTAGCTTGATAAGACGTGTATTCTTTCTTAAAAAGACCATCTCTTAATAATGTTTCACCGTCGTTCATATGAACAAATCCTTCTTGGACATCATCAGGTTCTTGTACATGCAGTTTCTCCGATGTATGCTCCCTCTTTGATGACTCGTTCCCACTTATGATATCATCTATAGAATCAATCTCAGCTTGGGATGGCTTTCTTCTTAATGCATAACTTTGTCTTACTTTCTGCATTCTTCTATACATCTCATTACTTCTCTTTATATAAAATTCCTCTCTGGATAGACCTTCCTCACAATATGTATCTGCGGTTGTATCATACGTATAATCATATGCTTCCTGTTCAAACTTTTCTTTCGGTGTATAAGTGCCTGTTGCAGCCCTTAATCTCTTCTGCATATCTCTTTTGCATGTTATGTATATATGTTTCTTTGTTTCATCTTGTTTTTGCTTTTTCGTCCTCTTCCTTATATCATCTAGGGTATCGACATCTGATTTCGCAGATTTTTGCGAGTATAAGGGACTTCTCCTGACAGACTTTACCCTGTTATACACAGTTCTTGCAGCTTCTATCTCACTTTCCTTCCGTTGGCCATATACTTCGGATGAATCATATCTTCGATATGTATCATCCCTGGAAGAAGAAGATCCTTCCTCCTTAGATACCCTCGTTGAATTCACATCGCGCCTACGTCCTGAAGAATATAAACTGTTATAATCATCTGCGCTAGAAATATCATCCCTTGTTGATGTTCTGTCTCTAATAGCTGGGCCAACTTTGCATGGTGAGCCACTCTCCACTAACACTGTCTCCGTAGTATCGCAAGAACTTTTACTCAAAGAATCGTCTCTTGCCATTCTTTCCTCCCTGTCAACTACATGAATTCTTCCTGTAGTATTAACTTTTCCCCATACTTCCTCTTTCGTGATTGTTTCAACTGAGCTCACGGAAGTGTCCTCTTCGGAGAATTCTTCCTCGAAGATTGCATCAATTGTGCTCAAGGAAGGACTTCTTTTCGACGATTTATTTCTAGTGCTAACTTCAACTGAGCTCAAACACCTATGTTTCCGTGATAATTTCTTCTTAGACAAGCCATAATCTGATTTCAAAGAATTACTTTCTCCCGATATCTTCCGTGTCCTTACTGCACTCTGTATGACTGTGCACGCAACTCCAGTTAGTATTCCTTTTCCGATGAGAACTTCATCTTTTCCCAAGGAAGGCAATTTTCTCAGGGACTGGTCCTTTTGCTTTATATCGATGTCCTTTCCATTTCTAAGGTGGGTGAATGTTCCTACTTTGGTTGTTCCTTTTCTATTTGTCTTGACAGCTCTATTTATTATTAAGAAATGAATTGCCGCTGCTACGATATCCCTGGTTGGAGAATCTCCCCCCGGTCCTAATTCATCTTTTACTTCTTCATCAGTTATTTTTGCGGATTGTTTTAAATGTAATCCTGCCTCTTTCACAACTTTGCCCCTGTTTCTGGATTTGTAGATGCTACATAAACCACTATCTGGAGATAATGCAGCCTTATATGCTGAATCAACGTTCCATGACATTTCAGTTGTACAGTTTTCTGAATCTTTCT